CTGGTTTCCAGGTACGTATTGGTCAGCATTCATTAGTTGAGGCATTGGGGCCTTGGCATGAGCTGGCACCTGGTCTGCCAGTATCATACCCACCAGTAGGAATTTAGATCCCTAGGGGTTAATCCCAACTCAGCTGCTACCTTTCAGGATCTCAGTGGTGCCTAACCTGACACCCGTTACCATCTTTTCTCCCTCCATCACTCCTCCCCTTCTCTTCCTGTCTCTGGAATACCCACTCCATCTCTAAAAAGAGCTCAGCCATCTATGACCTCTTCATATCTCCCTCCAGCTCCTGTCTCTCTGACACCTGCGTTCCTTTGTCTGACACTGCCTCTGCAGCTTCCCTCTCTTACGGAGGCCTCTCCTTCTCTCACACCCACTGCCCTGTATCATGCTGTAATGGGGATGCTGCTGGGTTTCTCTTCTCACATTTCCTTCCACTCTTTTGTTCCATATTTGTACATCGCCTAGCACAATGGGGTCTTGGTCCATGACTAGGGTTCCTATATGCTACGATAATACAAATAATTAATAATAATGTTAAAAAATAAACCTCATGCTTCAGGGCTTAAGACAATCAAAATATCAGAGATCACAAGGAGGCCTAACGTGGGGTAGCTGATTATCCCGTATCTGCCTACGGCAGGGTTCTTGCCCCTTCCACTGAAGCATCTGGTACTGGCCATTGTCAGAGACGGGATGCTGGACTAAATGGCCTGGGGTCTGACTTATTATGGCAATTCCTATGTTCCAGTGTAAAACCTGTTTTAAGTGAGATCAGAATCAGGTACATGGGCGGGACAAGCTCCCGCTTCCTGGGTACCAAGCACTGTGCCTTGCTATCTTCACGTGCACTTCTTCCTGCTTCCTGTCCATCACCAGTTTCCGCTCTGATGCTCTCTGCTCCTCGTCCTGTGCTTGATCATACTGGGGAAAGAAGAGAAATCCAAAGCTGAAACAAACTCAATCCTCGATTCTGCTGGTGCAGGGCTCAGCTTGCACGAAGCTCCTTGCAGAAGGAGGGCCTAAGGGAGCTCCCCCAAGAATACTTTTCTTCCTCCTCTCTCTCAGCACACAGCCAGTTGTCATTTCTAGTTACGTTCTCTGTCTAATTTAGGCTGGAAGCTCCTCGGAGCACAGAGATGTCACTCTGTCATTTGTCTTCCGCGTGCCCTGCGCACCAATCATGCTATAGAAATAGCAAATCATAACAAAAGTGATTAGCAATCATTTGTGAGACGTACATTTAACACTGTCAAGGAGAAGCAGATAATGGTGTTTTCAAAGGACAGTTATGTAGAGCTGAAAACATGATGGGAAATCCCCCTTCCCCCTCATTTGGTAGTTTGAGGAGAATAATTTTATTGAAAGGCAAATCCCTTAATCTCCAGATACAAATCAACAGAATGGCAGAATTGCTAAGGACAGAGAATATCATATAGGCATGTACTGTATGTCTCTTTCCTTATTTAATCAAACATGGGCCCTCCAGCTGTTATCGTATTTATGAAAAGGTAACTCAAGGCTACACAAACTCCCCAGCACAGACTGCATCGTAACAAACAGACCTAGTTTAAAGGCAGGGCTCATGGGACTTGACTGTAGAGGGACCCTGTGGGCCTGATCCTTGATTCCCATTGACTCAAATTAAAGTTGAGGGTGTTAAACACTGGGCAGGATTGGACTCTTAGTTTTTAAACGACTTCAGAGCTCACAAGTGACTTGTATGTTAATGGTTGGATCCACACTTTGAATTGGAAGACAGTTGACTTGTTGGAGGCAGTTCCACACCCACTCACTGAATCGATGGGTTCCTGCTGTAGAATGGTCCTGCCTTTTAGAGAGATGTGCTATGTGAACAGCTGCTCTTGTGCTTTCCAGGAATTTTTGGCCCATCAAATGACCCAGGTGACGGCGAGTGACCCAAGACCGCATACTTCCTGGCTCAAAGAGGACTTGTTGAATCTGTTGGGCCCTGGAAAGACAGCACCATGCGACTATCAAGATGGGAAGAAAAGTAAGGGAACCATCTAAAGAGACTAAACAAAGGGAAGTGAAGTAATAGTTCTGGGTTCTTGCACAGGGGAGTCACATAGGAAACAAAAGAGAGGGTCTGTTTTTAGCATTTCCCCCTATAAAGCAAGACACAGAGCCCTCTTCTTTAGCTAAAGCATCAGGGAGCTTTGATTGAAAGTAGGGCCCTCCAGAAATGACACTAAATATAAATGTTTCTGGGGAGGATGGATATGCCAGACTAGGGTTGTCACTGCAATGGTCTGAGTATATCTCCTCCCAATGTACAACCTTGAACAGCCACCAAAGAGAATCCATGCTAGGTTTTACCAGCTTACGCTGGGTCAGGCCTTTGTGAGTTTAGGGAGTGCTGCATGCACAACTGGATTCATACTGTGCAGGAGAACAATACAGCTCACAGTTATGTATTTTCCTACTGAATCTCAGTGTCCTCTAACCAGGAATAACCCTATTATATTCTCTAGATGTATGCTGAGGTATGGAGCCCTCTGCTCAATCCTGCTCCTTTTACAGTCAATAATAAAACTCCAATGGGCTTCAATGGGAGCAAGATAGGACCCAATGGAATGAGGAAGCCCAGCTCTGAGTTTACAGAGGAGCATTGTACACAACGGGGTTAGGAAGCCCAGGTCAGAGTGTATATGTAGACATGGCACACACTGAGAATAGGAAGTCCTAAAGAGGGAATAAACAGACTAAGAGAGGACCAGTCTGCAGGTGGCTGTCATTACCTCACACTAAATTTTCATGAAAAGAAAGTGATTGGAAATCTATATCCTGGGTTTGGACAGTGGGGCTACGTATCAAAGAAACAGGTGTAATTCATATCAGGGGGAGCCAAAGTACAGCCCTGGAGCTAAAGGCAGCCTACCACATTCTACAAAGAGGGCCTTCAGCTGCCTTCACCTTTAATGTGGAAAGGTGGATCTTGGAAATTAGAAGTTCCAGCATGCAGTGCAGTATGGATGTTTACATTATGGTGGACTTTTGGATGCTGGGACATGTTGTCTCTATTGGTCACACTTACAATATTAAAGATGCGTAGTAACTGCCAGCCTTTTCTCTCAGGGATTATGGTGAGTTGCCAATGCCACCACTTGGTTGGGCAAAGTTTGGGCACTCCTGACTTAGTGCAGCACAAATGGCCTGATTCTTGTTTGGCAAGCAATGGGTTAAAAGGTTGGCCTTCAAGGATTCTTATTTTCCCCTTTTGCAAACTCCAGTTTGGAACTTGGCAAAACAAAATGAAGTGCCCCTGGAGCCAAATCCAGGGCTGGCCTGATGGTCAGAGACACTCATTCCCCAAACCCATGCCACTGTAACCCACTGTTCAGTCTCTGTTACATGTCACCCTTTAGTGGCTGATCCACAGTGGGTCAGAGTCTACATAGGAATTGCCACACCGGATTAGACCAAGGTCCTTCTGATCCAGTAAATCATCAGACAGTGGCCAATGCCAGATGCTTTAGAGGGGAAGGTGTAAGATCCCTACAATAGGCAGGTCTGAAATACCTTCCCCCACACTTTAGGGCTCATCCTGTCTTTTAATAGTTAGAGATTGGCTTAAACCAGAGCTGGGGAACCTTTTTTTCTATCAGGGGCCACTGACCCACAGAAAAAATAAGTTGCGGGCCACACACAGCCCCGAGGGGATGGTTGGGTGCAGAGGCTTGGGGCTTCCCTCCTCAGCACTGAAAGGCCAGGCAACGACTCATGATGACAGGCTGTCATTAAGCCATCCTGATGGTAAGAGACGACCTCCTCCCCTCCTCAAAATTGGGGCCAGCCATTTTAGTGAGACATGCCCCGTTCCCTGTCCTTTAATATCAGCCTGAGGATGAGGCCAGTCATCTATACTCCCTGAGAGATTAGCCATTCCCTTTCTCTACTGATGAAACCCCTGCCCACAATCTCCCCAAGCACCCTAGCCCCCATCTTCTCTCCCCTTCCACCCCCATATCCCTAAGCCCCGCAGATCTCTCCCTGCCCTCATGTTGCCACCTCTGATGTACAAAAAACCCAGGATATTAAGGATGAGCCTGAGCCTATAAAACCGGACAGCTGGAGTGTGTACTGAGTACCCTTACAGATTTCCTGTCACAGCTACCTCAAAAAGAGACAATGCTGGGAAAACCTAGGCAAGAGGTAGCCCTACCCTGCCCCTATATTGGTCCTGCTTTGAGCAGGGGGTTGGACTAGATGACCTCCTGAGGTCCCTTCCAGCCCTGATATTCTATGATTCTATATCCCCATGGCTCCTATTTTTGCTCCCCATTACATATTCCCAAAACCTGGGACCCTTGTCTATACCAGAAAGTTTTATCGCTTTAACTAGCCTAGCATGATTCATAGATTCTAGGACTGGAAGGGACCTCGAGAGGTCATCGAGTCCAGTCCCCTGCCCGCATGATGATGCTCCTTGTGTGGATGCTGTTATACCGGTATAAAAGGGCTTATACTGGTATAGCTGATTTCAGTTTGGAAAGGGGAATAAGCTAGACCGCTATAAGGCGCCTTTACACCTGTACAACTGCATCCACGCTAGGGCTTATACCAGTGTAACTCTTATCAGTAAAAAAATCCCACCCCCCCCCCCCCCGCCCTAGCTATACCAGCCTCACTTCTGTATTGCAGCCCAGCCTCTCCAGCCAGCTCCACCGCCCCCAGCCTCTCCCCAGACCCCTGAGACCCCTCCCCCTTGAAATCTCTCTCCGGGGCCTGGCTCTCTCTGGCCTTCCTAACGGGGCCCACTCCCCGCAGCCCACATGCTGCACTTCACCCCAGCTTGCTGCCCTGTTGTCCCGGCGCCGCCTCAGCTCCTCCCGCGGCCGGCCCCACCCTCCGCCTCCCGCGCTCCCCAGCATTGGCCGAGCGCGAGCTCGCTGCGCAGGGATTGGCTGAGCGCAGAGGGCCCGCCCTTTGTGTCAGCGGGCTAGGTTACTCCGCGTGAGGTCGGCGGCGCCGACCCGTTCCCTCCCCCTCCCGGCCGGGCCCGCAGGGAGAGTGACACTCATCAGGCGGCTCCGTCCAGGCGGCGCAAGCAGCTCACAACCGCCATCCCTCTCGGTAAGAGCCGCCGCGCGGCGCAGACAGCGCGAGCTGGGAGGGTCCCCGCGGCAGCGGGTGTGTGAGGGGGACCCCAGGGGCGGAGCGGAGGCGTGGGCCCGGCGGGGTGGAGGGGGCCGGCGGCGAAGGGCTCTTGGGGGCCCTGTGGGAGTGTGAGGGGGAGGGGAGAGCAGGGCCCTGGGGGAGCTGCTGGGACTCCGGGGGGGGGGAGCTCTTGAGGCAGTAATGAAGGTGGGGCAGGGCCCTGGGGAGGCGGGGGGCAGCGGTGAGGGTGGGGTCCTGGGAGTGAGGAGGGGGGGGGGGGGGCCGGGGGGGGGGGAGCAGCTGTGACCCTGGCAGAGGGACCCTGGGGTGGGGTGCCCAGCAAGAGTTAGTTGCAGAATTTGGGTGGCTGTGAGGGTTATTTTTTCCACGATCCTCTGGGTGCAGGAAGGGAGACGTTCCCAGCTGAGTCTGTGGAAGGGGTGAAGTGGTTACACCCCCCTGTCTCGGGATGGGTAGGACACCCCTCTTTCTTGCCCTGCCCAGGAGCCTGAGTCATTTCCTAGCTCCATCCCTTAGGGCTTAGGCAGCTTTCTCTCTGCTGGCAGTGGCTGTCATATCAATATCAGTAAGGGGGTGCTTGGGGGGGTTACACTGACCTAACCAGACCCTTTGCCCCACTTCTCAGCATGTGCTGACCCCTAGTGATCTGGGGCTCTGGCCTCCGGTCAGCCTTGGGATGGTCGGGTAAAGAGGAGGACAGAGTTGGGACCACAAACCTTTGCTTGCTATAGGATTAGTGGGTTTTCTACTGGGGGAAGGGCACAATTGAATAAGTACACTCAAAATTTCCCCAGCCAGAACTTCCCAAAATCTCATTTTAGAGCTCTGAATCTCATCCCTTTCCTCCCTCAACCAGAACACTCAAACTTCTCCTTAATCGCCCTCTCCCCCAACCCCCAATAATCCATTTTTCTTCAAATTAAGGGATATGGGGCATTTTATGCCTTTTATGGGAATGGGAGTTGAATTATAAATCACAGGCTGGTGAGGTGGCAGAATTCTGTTCAGTGCAACAAACTGGGAACATTATGGGGGTTAATTTAATTTGTGGTAATTAACAATATTTTGTAGCAAGGGTGTGATGGGCTGCAGTAATTGGCACGTATAAAAATGACAGGAAATTCAAAGTTGGGGTGGGAGGAAGAACATCCTGCAGTGTCTGTCTTGATCAAGGGAGGTGGGGGAATTTGTGTCTGGGTCATCCCAGAGGAAGTGGGAGCTGCTGGCAAAGATTTTGTTGCATTGGAGTGACGAGGCTATGTTCCTAGTAATATCTTTGCTGTTACTGCAGTTTTATTTTAAACAGCATTTTCATGAAATCCTCCCCCCCCCCCCCGATTTGGTCTAATACAGTATTACGTGTGTCAGGTCTTCTTATCTGGTCCTCTTGAAGCTTTTTGTAATGTGGTTCCCCTCTGCTTTCTTGCTACAATTCTGGCTGGCTGGTCTCCTTCCCTACTTTACAAGGATGGTTGTGGCATTGCATCAGGGGATATTTGTGCTGTAATTCAGTAACACAGCAAGGATAAGCATTTGCAGAGCTGCTGCTTGCTTGCAGCTTGATGAGATGGGTGTGGTAAACTGAGTGGATACAGCAGACGCTAGGCCTATACGGTAACACTGCCCAGTCATCAGCATAGAGATTCAAACGCCAAGCTATTTATATAAATTAGGCCTAGTTTCAAGCTGAGCACATTGATTTAGAAGGAACAGTTGTCATATTTTCAGTATTAAATGAGTGTTTGCTATGACGCTGTATAGTACTGTCACTGGTAAGTTTAGAAACAAGTGCCATGGAGTTGTTGGATAGGAAAAGTCCACTCTGAATAAACGTATTCCTCATTAGGTGTATCTTGATCCTGACAGTATGCTTTGTCATTGTAATGTTCAGTCTCTCTTTCTGTCTCATTCATGCCCTGATTAAGCCTATTAAAGCGGAATTCATATTTTAGCCCAACTTTTTTGATAAACCTTCTTTAGCTTTTAAACCCCATCACCATTGTAATATTCTTCATTTCACTTTATCAGTTCTGTTTATGGGGGTCTAAGCTCCTATTACAGGGGTGGGCAAACTTTTCGGCCTGAGGGCCACATCTGGGTGTGGAAATTGCATGCAGTGCCATGAATGTAGGGCTGGCGCGGGGTGTGGGGTGTGGAAGGGGGTGCGGTGTGCAGGAAGGGGTTCAGGGCAAGGGGTTGGGGCGGAGGAGGGGTGTGGGGTGTACGAAGGGGCTCAGGGCAGGGGGTTGGGGTGCAGAAGGGGATGCAGAGTGCGGGAGAGGGCTCATGGCAGGGGGTTGGGGTGCAGGGAGGGGTGCGGAGTGTGGGAGGGGGCTCAGGGCAGGGGGTTGGGGTGCAGGTGGGTTGCGGGGTGTGGCAAGGGGCTCAGGGCATGGGGTTTGGGGTGCAGGAGGGGGTGCGGAGTGTGGGAGGGGGCCCAGGGCAGGGGATTACAGTGCAGGAGGGGTGCAGCGGGGGTTCGGGGCAGGGGGTTGGGGTGCGGGGTGCAGGTAGGGTGACCAGATGAGAGATGTGAAATATTGGGACGCAGGGGGAGGGGTGCTGGTGGAGCAAAAAAAACCAACAACCCAAGAGCCGGCGGCGGAGGAAAAAACAAAAGCAAAAACCAAACCCCCCTGCCCCCCCAAAAAGCAAGAGCCACTGGCAGCTCCACGCCCCACCCCCTGCACCAGCTCGCCTTCGCTCCACCTCCACCTCCCCTGAGCTGGGTGCCACGTCCTGCTTCTCCCCCCTCCCTTCAGCGCTTGCGCCGCCATACAGCTGATTAGCGCCAGCCTGGGAGAGAGGGGTGAGGAGGAATGTGGCGTGCTTGGGGAAGAGGCGGGGCCAGGGGGGGATTTGGGGATGGATCCAATGGGGCAGTGAGGGGGCAGGGCTGGGGCGGAGTTGGGGCGGGGGGGCACGAGTCCCCTCCGCCTGTGTGCTGGAGGGCAAAATATCGGGACAATTCGCGTCCTGACCGAACATCGGTTGGGACGCGGGACAAACAAGTAAATATCGGGACAGTCCCGATAAAATCGGGATGTCTGGTCACCCTAGGTGCAGGAGGGGTTTGGGGTGCGGGCATCCGAGAACACTTTGGTCATCTTTTCCAGGAAGAACAAGTTCACTTTGTACTTTTCTTTGTGAGAGAGATTTTTTAAACGCGGAATCCTCCTGGATACCTGTATTGCACATCCTGGACAATTATATTCTTCCTGTGAAAAGGAGGCTAATACTGAACACAGTGTCTAAAGATCTAAGCAGTGTGTTTGCACATGCCTCTAACGAAGTGGGTATTCACCCACGAAAGCTTATGCTCCAATACGTCTGTTAGTCTATAAGGTGCCACAGGACTTTGTTGCTTTTTACAGATCCAGACTAACACAGCTACCCCTCTGATACTCGTGTTTTCAGTGAGATACTGTTTAAATATTCAGTGTTGAAAACCACTTGTTTTTCCTTTAAGACTTAACTTTGGGGGCATTAGTGACCTCTCCTCTCTCCCTCCCTCCCTTACACCTTGTTCTTGCAGTGACCAGCAGGTAATCTTGTCTGATGCAGCCTTAGGGTATGTCTACACTGCAATTAAACACCTGTGGCTGGTCTGTGTCTGCTGATTCAGGCAGCGGTGCTGTAAAATCGAGGTGTAGGTGTTTGGGCTTAGGCTGGAGCCCTGGCTCGAGGACCTTCCTCCCTCATGGGGTACTAGAGCTTGGGCTCCAGCCTGAATGTCTCCACCGCCATTTTACAGCTTGAGCTCAACATGGACCAGCTGTGGATTTTTAATTGCTGTGTAGACATATTCTTAGTGTCCCTTTTGTTTTCAAACTGCTGCTAAGTACTGTGCTGATGGCTTGAAGGATTTTACAACTGTTAAATTCCTTTCCTGTTGATTATGGCTTGAATGTTCCACTTACTGTATGCTGGGGTAACATTTTGGTATATTACCATCTTATTCTGATTTACTTTGCAGAGTAGTTTTCGCTTGCAAAATCCATATCCTTTTGAATTATAATTTATTGTTGCTCGTTGCAAAGTCTCAAATTTTAGTAATGCTGCCAGTCATAATACCAGTGGCTACTTGGTCAATCAGAATGTAGGTTTGCAATCACTTTTATGTGGTAAAATTACTTGAATCATGTTAGAAAATATAAATGAGAACTTTCTGACCATTCTGGAGGGTCTCAATTATCCTCATGTCTAGAGACACAATGAAGGATCCCAGGCTCTGTGGTCCACTCAGATCAGGGCAGATGGGTTTTTCAGTTTAAATCAGCTTCATTAAACTTGTATTATAATAGCAATAATATTATTGCTCCTTTGTTTTCCTTGGAAATAATCAGATTTTCTTGTGATAAATGATGAGCCCAAAGGCAGGATAGTTGGGAATCTGATTTATTACCTCAAAAGCAGAAGGACATTGATATTATCACTTAAATCTCTTGTTTAATATGTATCTACTAAAGTGACATCAGTGGAAATATCAAATCCAAAGATGTTTCAGTGACTGGAAGCTATAATGGCCCAGACAGATGGTCAGGATAGTCAATGCTCACCCTCACAACAGTCTTCCCATTGGTGTGGATTTCCTCCCCTCTAACAGCATTAGAGAAGGATTCAGTCACTTTGGTCTTTCAAGAAAAATAGAAAGAATTTTTAAGTTTACATACTTGTATGATGCCGATAGCTACTCTTTGAAGCTTTAAAATCTGACTTTACCTGAGTAATTCCTTAATGCTAATAGTAATTGGTTCAGATCATTGACCTGCAGCATGCAGACTGGTGGGCTTGATTCCAAGGAGTGCCGAACACCACAACTACTCCATGGGATTTGCAGATGCTCACCATCTCAGGATGTGCCCCTTACTGCATGAAAGTCTAGTGTGTTACCTGAAGACCTATTTTAATGGACCATATCATTTGGTTGTTGGAAACAGGAAACTATGACTTCA